AAGTATATTGCTAAAATTAATATTTAAGATTTTATTAAAAAAATAAAGTTTAAAAAAATAAACGCAGGCAAATTTGCTTGTGTTACAATTTAAGGGATACCGGGAAGAGCCACTCCTATTATCATTAACTTGCTGGGGCATATTCGGACAACTTCTAGCATAATGGCCTGGTTGTTGACACACAAAGCAAGTTGGCACACGACTATTCCTATCTCTTTGGTTTCCATTATCCACGGGCCGTAAACGATTATTATTATCACTATTGTTCTTGACGGCTGATACTACCTCCTGTAGTAATGTAATCACATGTTCCATAGACCCACTAGAATTATTATTCATAGAACCATTCGCCGGCGGACTTCTTATATAAGCGGCAGTTGGTACTATTGGTGGTGTCATCACTCGTTGCTGGAATGCTGGTTGATATTGTGCATATCGAGGTTGTTGTGACACCACGGGCTGCTGTAAAAAGGATGGTTGTAAAGCTGAAGTACCAGATACAGTATTATATATCGCCGCTGGTCCACAAAGAGCTAATCCACGAGCAAAAGTAATCTCACAGATCCTGGCTCAGTCTATCACTTCTTATAGTATATTAGACATAAACGGTCCTACTGCTAAGGATAAATCAGGACGTAGTCCTTGCACAAACATTTGTGCTTTGACCACTTCCGGATACTAACTTCCAACCTTAGTAACACAATTAAACAGGGATAGCATATTAGTGGCGTATTGATCTACTGTTTCGCCAACCTGTTGTTGTTTTGTTAAGAGCTCATTATTCCACTGGCTGATCAAAGCTTGAGAGCAAAAGGTCTGCTGAAATTGATAGGCAAAGCTTTGTTCTGGTGAAAAGTTATTACTCTAGTATTGTATTTTATGTTTTCGCTTAGCCTACCACAGCGCAGCTGCTCCAGAGAGATGCGGTCTGACTACTGCCAACCTTCTTTCTTCCAAAATGTTATTGGCCTCAAACGCTTGTTCCACTAGCTCCAGCCACTCGATTGGGTCTTGATTTCCAGCCGTAAAGGTAGGTATCTTGACTATCATTTGCTCCTTCGGTTGAGCTCTCTGTTCCAATACATCAGCTATTGTTTGTAGTATGCGTCGAGTTTGTTGATCGGGACCCTCATTCGGCATATCAAGAAGACTTACATTAGTCTTTATAGTACTACCCTTAGAAGTAATATTTCAATCTTCAATAACAACATCATTCTCTAAAGACACATTCCTTTTCTCCTTTCCAATTTTATTACCACTCTTGGATACGTTTATCGGTTCGTACGTCATATATTCGTTCGTAAGTTCTTCATCTTTAATCATTGCAGTTTTATTTCAATTTGTTAATATATATTCACTTGATTTATTCGTTACATCATTCGATTTTTCTTCTTTAGCGTTCTTTATCGATATATCCTCTGATTTCTTATTATTATAGGTATCTTGGTTCAACACAATACAGATCCAGATTTTGTTCTCTTATTTAAGTTTCTATTACTAATTTTGATTTCACTATGGCACCGATTCTTAAGTCACGTTTTCTATCAAATTTTGTTAACACAAGCCGACCTTCGGCTTTTGTTCACTTTAAAATTATAACACCAAACGTTCTTTATTTTGATTTTCCTTTGTTTTTGTTAACGACTTTCTATACTAATCAACTTTTATTTCTATTTTTGCTTTAGTAAATCCACACAATCGGCACCATAAATGTTACGACCAAGGGAGAGTCTTATATCGATCTGGCCAATTTAGCAAAGGGTCGTAATCATTAATAAGGATAAAAACAAATATCGTATTCACACACAAAGGCACCAAAACATGATAACTGCTGTTTCTTTATAGTGTCCCAGACACTATTACCACTAATACTTTTATTTATTCTTCTATCTAGTAAGTTCCAAACTCACTATTCCTTCAACTCAAGTTACACTACTCAACAAGAGAACCGACAAATAATCAAAGACTATCTTCTCAACTAAAAAATCAAACTAACTAACTAACGTTCTATAAATTCTACATACATATATAGGTACTATTAGACTACAAATAGACTACATACTACTTAAAGTCTAATTAAAATAGGCTTTAGATTGATAAACTACGCATAAGCTATTAATAAATGTTACACAAAGTCTATTTAAGAGTATAAGCGAAGCTTCTAATAGTATATTGGTTACACAAAGAAAGTTTAAGTGTGAAACTTTCTTTGCGTAACATTTTCCTCCGCTTGAGGGATGAGCCCCGTTCAAATCCCAGCAATAACAATTTTTTTTTTTTTTTTTTTTTTTTTTTTTTTTATCTACCGCGTCCACGTTCTGAACGAAGGGTCAAACTCTTGTCATACGCCCCTTAACCCCGCGTATAACTGTCGCGTGCATCCTTTTTCAATCCAAAGTTTCTTTTAATGTTTCATTATGCATCACTTGTTTTGCAGGTGATCACTACGATTTGATTCAACCTCGATCCTCCTTTCGATGTATCGCTTAAGTTGGTTTCCATGAACTGCTTGTTCTAATGCTTCAATTTTTTTATTCATGGCTTCGAGTTTGTAAGTCCCATTTCCAAATTTTTCGTGAATTTGATAGGGACCTATCCACTTTTCTTGCAATTTACCGCCCAGTTGTTTTGCCAACCTGGCTCTATATCGTAATACCAAGTCGCCGACTTCGAAAGTTTGAAACGGGTGTTGACGATCATGACGCAATTTTTTTTTCTCTTGCAACTTTCGAATATTTTCCTTAGCATTAATTCTAGCTTCGAATAGTCCATTGATAATTCCAAATGTTTGTGCTAAAATCAGGGCTTCGTATTCTTCTTCAGCTGCATAATCAACGGGATATGTCTCCAACATCAATTCAACAGGCAAGGTAGGTTCCCTTCCATATAACAGGTAGAACGGACTATACTTCGTAGTATAGTGTTTGGCTGTTCTACAGGAAAATAGTGCAGGCGACAAATAATTGTCCCAATCTTCAAAAAACTGACTAACGCATTTGGCCAAAACTTCGCACAAGATTCTATTGAACCTTTCTACCAAACTGTTGCTTTGTGGGTGATACGTGGTTGATAGTTTATGCTTGAGTTGGGCTTTTTCACATAAGAAATCGATCACTTTGTTCACAAAATGAGAGCCTTGATCCGATTAAACTTGCCGCGAACATCCATGTCTGCTGATTATTTCTTCCAATAAGAAAGTGGCGACACTTTCAGCGGAACAATCCATCAACGCTCTGGCTTCGGGCCATTTTGTGAGGTATTCCACCGTAACGACCAAGTAGTGATTGCCTTTCTTTGTTATAGGCAACAGGCCCACAATATCAATGCCGATACAATCAAAGGGCTGGGTTACTTTAATCAGGTGTAGTCTTCTCTTTTTGTTGGCTTATTCCGTCATTGACATACATCGCAGCTCTTTACAAAGTTTCGGACGTCGTTCACCATTTGGTCTCAGTGGTATCAACTTTTTGCTTTTTCAATGGTTACATTTTCACCTAGATGTCCGAAACAGGATCTTCGTGAAGGCCTTTAGAACAAATTTTACTTGCTATTTCGTTATTACTCTTAATGGTCTGTCAGGGTTTTCTTTGTTTCAGCGATATAGGACACCATCGCGTATAAGGTAATACTAGGCTTGCGCTTTTAATTTCTTTGCTTGTTCCTTCGTGTACTCTGCAGTGATCTTTAATTTATCCAAATAACTGACCAGTGCTTTGTAAGATTCAATTTCCATTATTATTATCTAAATTTTTTTTTTTTTTTTTTTTTTTTTTTTTAAACTAATATGCTGATTTTCTAAATGTCTAAGTTATATGTGCTGTTTAAATATAAATTTGTTGCCCTTGTTCAATATATTATCACTATGTACTTATCTGGCAAATTGACTATTGATTCAAAGCTTCATTATATTTCTAAAGTTTTGTAGATGCCCCATGCCCCACATCATCGTAGCCGTCCCAGCCTCACTACGTCCGTTATAATATTTGATATTACATTACCGTTTATCTCTATATGTTCGCTAAGGTCATGTGATCCTATTCCAAATGAATTGCCTGCTGATTCAATTTCAATTATATGTTATTAGTCTATTTCAATTTTTGCTTTGCAGTACTGAATAATCTAGATTTGATTCTGTATGTAAATAGTGTAAAAGTTTTTTTTTTTTTTTTTTTTTTTTTTTTTTTTTTTTTTGATTTCCATCACGTGCTCCCATATTCCAGTAATTGTTCACTGATCCACTTTTCGTCGGCATTTGCTAATTAATTTATTCTAGCTTTCATCATATTAAGTAGTGTAGCATTAAAATGAATATAATTGATCAATATATATATATATCTAGTTTTTTTTTTTGTTTTTGTTTTTTTTTGTTTTTTTTTTTAAGTATTATTTTGTTTGTCGTTCCCTTTCACCCTATATCATCGCATTTCCTCCTGGGTCAACCAAAATCCTTGACAATGCGTCCACATTCCCTAATTGCTTTCCGGGTTTGTGTTTGACTACAAAGTTGTATCCTTGCAATAACATTATATAGCGGACCATTCTTTCAGTAGGGTTAGACATATTATTTAAATAAACCAACGTGCTATGATCTGTAATTAATGTAAATTGGGCCCCATGTAGATACTGGTAGAACTTCTTCATGGCCCAGACAATAACGGTACACTCCAGTTCCATTATTGTATAGTTTTTTTTAGCGGGTTTTGTTGACCTGCTTGCATATTCCACTACGTGTTCTTGATCTTCTTCATCGGGTTGTGCCAAAATTGCACCAAGAGCTATATAGAAGATGTCGGTATACAGCACAAATCCTTTTTCATCTTGTGGGTGTGCTAAAACCAGAGCCGTCGTTAATCGCAGTTTCAATTCCTCAAATGCTTCTTTTTGATCTCTCTTCCATTGATAAGAGACGTCCTTCTTTAACAACCGATATAGCGGCACAGCCACCTTGGCGAAATCTTTTACGAACCTACGGTAAAAGCCCGCAAGTCCTAAAAATCCACGTAACACTAAGACATTCTTTGGTTCAGGAAAGTCCTTTACTACTTTTATTTTCGATGCTGCTGCTGCTATTCCTTTTTCGCTGATTTCATGCCCCAAATATTCAATTTGTCTTTGCCCAAAAAAACACTTATCTGGATTCAACTTCAAATTTGCTTGTTGTAACCTTTTCAACACAACATCGACGTGGACTAAATACATATCAAAATCTGGTGAATAGATGTTCATGTCGTCAATATAAGCCAGGGCAAATTTTCACAATTCTTCATGTAAAACACGATCTATTAAACTCTGGCATTCATTAATCCAAAAGGCATTACTACAAATTCGTAGAGGCCGAACTTCGTAGTAAATGCTGTTTTCTCCTGGTCACGAGGGTGCATTCCGACTTGCCAGAAACC